CCAATATAGAAGGACTAATTTGGAAAAAGCCGCCTCCTGTCCTGAAACTGATATTTCTGTGTAGAATCCATAAAGGAACTATTTGGGAGCTATTTATTAATATTAACTTAATGTATGATGTACCCAGAAAACACTACTAATGACTTACAAGTGTTCGGTTTGTTTGGATTTACGGCATATCAACCTCAATGGGTCATTTAATGCCCACAACATTTTTATTGCTAGTAATATTTTTTTTCCAAAAATGTATTGCTGTTAATAATTTTTCCTTCAAAAAATGTATTGCTGGTATTCAAATCTATTATTAAACTTTCATAATGCTTTGACCCCAGTTTGAGGATTAACTATTTGCCCATAGCTGGGAGCCTAACAGGTGCTACTACCCCGGGTCAGCAGCAATTAAGAGGCGGCTTCACGCTCCGCAACACTTTCTGATCAGAGGCCTTGCTGTTGGACATAGTTTATCGTCATACACAGGACAGGATTTACGAGTGTAGTTTGTTGATCATTACATCATGATGTGCCTGTCAGCGTTTTAAGATAAAAGACAGAATTTCGTGTGAAGGTATTCGAAGTAATTATTTATCCCACATTGGCGCAACAAAGTCTTTTGATTCCGTTATCTTTGTTTTGTGACGTCAATGAATACTCGTGTCACTTTCGTAATGCTCGTTATAGTAGACGCATTGTAATCGCAGATACAACTATAGTACGCCGTTGAACAATACTGGTGTGAGACGCCTTCGAATATCAGTCAGTTATGTGCCATGCGTGATGCTCGCTTAGGCGATCATGTATCTTTCGACACATGAGTGACGAGGCATATTTTTCCCGCAGTAGGTTGCCATTTCTTTCTGTGGTAGAGTAGTTGCCATCCAAGTCTATAGAACCCGGTCTGTTCTGCTACTTACCCATAGCTGGTGGGAGAAAAAGAGGATTCATACTTTTTCTCAAGGGTATTACAATGAATATCACTCGCACTAATAGTACTTGCGCGATACTACTCGCTCGAACAGTATTCCGTATAGTGATCCAAATAGAGAAATAGTATAGTGAATAGAATAGAGAATAGCGATCCATATAGTAATAGAGGATAGAATAGAAATAATGATCTGAATAGTAATAGAGAATAGACTAGAAATGGCGATCCGTATAGTAATAGAGAATAGACTAGAAATGGCGATCCGTATAGTAATAGAGGATAGACTAGAAATGGTGATCCGTATAGTAATAGAGGGTGGACTAGAAATTGCGATCCGTATAGTAATAGAGAATAGACTAGAAATGGCGATCCGTATAGTAATAGAGGATAGACTAGAAATGGCGATCATTATAGTAATACCGGATAGACTAGAAATGGTGATCTGTATAGTAATAGAGGATAGACTAGAAATGTCGATCCGTATAGTAATAGAGGATAGACTAGGAATGGCGATCCGTATAGTAATAGAGGATAGACTAGAAATGGCGATTATTATAGTAATAGAGGATAGACTAGAAATGGCGATCCGTATAGTAATAGAGGATAGACTAGAAATGGCGATCCGTATAGTAATAGAGAATAGACTAGAAATGGCGATCCGTATAGTAATAGAGGATAGACTAGAAATGGCCACCCGTATAGTAATAGAGGATAGACTAGAAATGGCGATCCATATAGTAATAGAGGATAGACTAGAAATGGCGATCCGTATAGTAATAGAGAATAGACTAGAAATGGCGATCCGTATAGTAATAGAGAATAGACTAGAAATGGCGATCCGTATAGCAATAGAAGATAGACTAGAAATGGTGATCTGTATAATAATAGAGGATAGACTAGAAATGGCGATCCGTATAGTAATAGAGGATAGACTAGGAATGGCGATCCGTATAGTAATAGAGGATAGACTAGAAATGGCGATCATTATAGTAATAGAGGATAGACTAGAAATGGCGATCCGTATAGTAATAGAGGATAGACTAGAAATGGCGATCCGTATAGTAATAGAGAATAGACTAGAAATGGCGATCCGTATAGTAATAGAGGATAGACTAGAAATGCCGATCAGTATAGTAATAGAGGATAGACTAGAAATGGCGATCATTATAGTAATAGAGGATAGACTAGAAATGGCGATCCGTATAGTAATAGAGGATAGACTAGAAATGGCGATCCGTATAGTAATAGAGAATAGACTAGAAATGGCGATCCGTATAGTAATAGAGGATAGACTAGAAATGGACTAGAAATGGCGATCCGTATAGTAATAGAGGATAGACTAGAAATGGCGATCCGTATAGTAATAGAGAACTAGAAATGGCGATCCGTATAGTAATAGAGGATAGACTAGAAATGGCGATCCGTATAGTAATAGAGGATAGACTAGAAATGGTGATCCGTATAGTAATAGAGGATAGACTAGAAATGGCGATCCGTATAGTAATAGAGGATAGACTAGAAATGGCGATCCGTATAGTAATAGAGGATAGACTAGAAATGGCCATCCGTATAGTAATAGAGGATAGACTAGAAATGGCGATCCGTATAGTAATAGAGGATAGACTAGAAATGGCGATCCGTATAGTAATAGAATAGACTAGAAATGGCGATCCGTATAGTAATAGAGGATAGACTAGAAATGGCGATCCGTATAGTAATAGAGGATAGACTAGAAATGGCGATCCGTATAGTAATAGAGGATAGACTAGAAATGGCGATCCGTATAGTAATAGAGGATAGACTAGAAATGGCGATCCGTATAGTAATAGAGGATAGACTAGAAATGGCGATCCGTATAGTAATAGAGGATAGACTAGAAATGGCGATCCGTATAGTAATAGAGGATAGACTAGAAATGGCGATCCGTATAGTAATAGAGGATAGACTAGAAATGGATCCGTATAGAATAGAGGATAGACTAGAAATGGCGATCCGTATAGTAATAGAGGATAGACTAGAAATGGCGATCCGTATAGTAATAGAAGGATAGAATAAAATAGAATAGATAGACGATCCGTATAGTAATAGAGGATAGACTAGAAATGGCCACCCGTATAGTAATAGAGGATAGACTAGAAATGGCCATCCGTATAGTAATAGAGGATAGACTAGAAATGGCGATCCGTATAGTAATAGAGGATAGACTAGAAATGGCCACCCGTATAGTAATAGAGGATAGACTAGAAATGGCGATCCGTATAGTAATAGAGGATAGACTAGAAATGGCGATCCGTATAGTAATAAAGGATAGACTAGAAATGGCGATCCGTATAGTAATAAAGGATAGACTAGAAATGCCGATCAGTATAGTAATAAAGGATAGACTAGAAATGGCCACCCGTATAGTAATAGAGGATAGACTAGAAATGGCCACCCGTATAGTAATAGAGGATAGACTAGAAATAATGATCTGAATAGTAATAGAGAATAGACTAGAAATGTCGATCCGTATAGTAATAGAGGATAGACTAGAAATGGCCATCAGTATAGTAATAGAGGATAAACTAGAAATGGCGATCCGTATAGTAATAGAGGATAGACTAGAAATGGCCACCCGTATAGTAATAGAGGATAGACTAGAAATGGCGATCCGTATAGTAATAGAGGATAGACTATAAATGGCCACCCGTATAGTAATAGAGGATAGACTAGAAATGGCGATCCGTATAGTAATAGAGGATAGACTAGAAATGGCGATTCGTATAGTAATAGAGAATAGACTAGAAATGGTGATCCGTATAGTAATAGAGAATAGACTAGAAATGGCGATCCGTATAGTAATAGAGGATAGACTAGAAATGCCGATCAGTATAGTAATAGAGAATAGACTAGAAATGGCGATCCGTATAGTAATAGAGAATAGACTAGAAATGGTGATCCGTATAGTAATAGAGGATAGACTAGAAATGGCCACCCGTATAGTAATAGAGGATAGACTAGAAATGGCGATCTGTATAGTAATAGAGGATAGACTAGAAATGGCGATCATTATAGTAATACCGGATAGACTAGAAATGGCGATCCGTATAGTAATAGAGGATAGACTAGAAATGGCGATCCGTATAGTAATAGAGGATAGACTAGAAATGGCGATCCGTATAGTAATAGAGGATAGACTAGAAATGGCCACCCGTATAGTAATAGAGGATAGACTAGAAATGGCCACCCGTATAGTAATAGAGGATAGACTAGAAATGGCGATCCGTATAGTAATAGAGGATAGACTAGGAATGGCGATCAGTATAGTAATAGAGGATAGACTAGAAATGGCGATCATTATAGTAATACCGGATAGACTAGAAATGGCGATCCGTATAGTAATAGAGGATAGACTAGAAATGGCGATCAGTATAGTAATAAAGGATAGACTAGAAATGGCCACCCGTATAGTAATAGAGGATAGACTAGAAATGGCCACCCGTATAGTAATAGAGAATAGACTAGAAATGGCGATCAGTATAGTAATAGAGGATAGACTAGAAATGGCGATCCGTATAGTAACAGAGGACAGACTAGGAATAATGATCAATGAGACACACGCTAGCGCCCATATATGCGTTTTCTTTATGGTCACATGGTTTATGGTATTAGTTGATGGGATCGCCTGTGTTTGCACACTGGCTATTTATGTTCAGTCTCAAGTGTCGCCGGCGACACTTTATTCCTATTTAACACTTTTTGCCTAACCTTAGTAAATTACATGCACATTATTACGGATCTAATAGGCGGCGAAGGCAGTTATAAATTGCTTGACAGCCGTGGTAGTTAAATGTTTGTGATCATGCTTTGGCAAGTAACTATGACACAAAGTCATAAATAACGTTGGACTCACACACGTGTACATGTGGACAGCGCCGCAAGAAGACCAGTTCTTGCGTCACTTTTAGGACGACTCACGTATCCGGGTGTGAGCAATGCCTCTTTCCCTTTAAGAGCAGATTAAGGTGCAGCCGCGCAAAAAGATTTTGACCGGGGTAATAGGGGCTGAACAGCGCCAATTCCATCGTTCAAATGCACACGTTGAAACACCTGTTCCAATATGATCACCGAAGTTAAGCAACGTCGAGCCTGGTCACTACTTTGATGAATGACCGCTTCGGGATGCTAGATATTGTAAGCTTATGTATGCGGGTTTTATAAGCTTAGGTGTGCGGGTTTTTTCAATTACCGTCAGGCTCGTTATATTCACTTAGATGCAAATACTCATGGTAAAGGGTATGAATCCACCTCTTCTCCCTCCGGCTATGGGTTAATTAGTAAGACTTGTATCACAAGAACATTACTATTATCCAAAAAAAAAAAAAAAAATGTTAAAATCTAAAAATATTTTCTGGTTTAAAATAACTTACAATGGGTTGATAAACCGTAAAAACCGAACCAATTAAAAAAATCAAATACTCTATATTGCTGAAATGTACGGATAAAAATGGAAATAACCTTTCTTTTATCATGAACATCTCCACGAACGAGAATTTACGTCTCGGTCATATAACGATGTCAAACAGCCTGAGTTATTTATATTAAGCTTGACTTAGTTTGGCACAAGGCCACTAGTATGAGATTTCTAGTGAGGAGCGTCATCATTGGGTGATGTTATTTTAAAAGCAAATGAATTGAAACTAGTACTTAAATTAAACAACAGTGTAATCATTTTTTTTTTAATTAGTTACCTTGGTCTTTTTGTCAACCTTTAAAATGTGGGAGGTATTTCTGCCGCATCCTATAATTTTATCTGGCGTCAGTGCTATACATTTATGAGGAGGCATTTTCGTTTGTAGTCATTATCTGGAATATTCATATGTCTCTCAATATGAATGTTCCAAAGAATAGCAATTTTATACCTTTCATTGATTTAGGGTGATCTTCAGACCATTATTATTATTATTATTATTATTATATTTCGATTTTTTATGTGGTCACACTACCTACCAATTCTACGGGAAGGCGTAAGGCAAGTAGTGGTGTGTTGTTATGGCTACTGTTCTTTATTTTTTCCAATTCCCATAACATCACTAGCGTTACATAAACTAAACTCTTCTTGGTCTATCGTCTGTACTTATGAAGACATTTTTTTGGATTTCTCTTAAGCTGGGATTTCTAGGGATTTTTTTTTTTTTTTGGCAATGTGCTGTTGTGTTCCTTTTGTTATCATTCCAAGCGCACCAACTATGTCTGGTACTATTCTGGTTTTCAATTTCCACACTTTTTCCTATTTCGATTTCCATATCTTTATACTTCGATACGTTCTTCAAATTTCTTGGTTGCTATGTTACAGTCCGCTGAGAAAGCCTTATCAATTAGTAGGAAAGTTTGTTTTTTTTTTTCTTTTCGATTATTGACAATTATGTCCGGTCTATTTGCTTCAATCTTCTTGTCTGTAAAGATGGTGTCATTTCATATAATCGCTTGTCTTCTATTTCTGCAACCGATGCTGGGTGACGTTTATATCAGTGTTTGTTAACATCTTTTCCAAAGTGCTTGCACATCGTCCAGTATAAATATTGCCCCACTCTATCGTGACGATTTTTATATTCATTTGATACAGAAAACCCTGAGATTAGATGGTCTATGGTTTCCAGATAGTTGTCATGGTACATGCATTTTGAATCCACACTATTATGTATGATATTCGCTTTAAAGATTCTAGTGTAAAGACTCTGGTCTTGTGCTGCAAGAATAAAACCTTCCGTTTCAGACTTTAATCTATATGTCCGTAACTATCGGTGAGTGTTAACTTTATCAACATCGGTTTTATTAGCACGTATTGGATATTGGCCATGCAAAGGTTTGTCTTGACAGCGCTATGTTCAAATGCTTTTTCCTTGTTCTTTTTCCTTATTTCAGATTTTTGCTGCAGTATGTTCTTGGGTTCTGTTTTGGTTTTCTACAGAATTTTCTTCTTATTATTATTGTTTATGTGTTACGTTTCCTGCTTTGTATTCTGTAGAGCCGGGTCCAATCTATGGTCCTTAGGCCCTATAAGAGAACTGTCACTTTTCTTAGTCTATTGGATGTTCCTAGTAGGGCGATCTTCTGGGCAACTTATATGTAGATGTTACCTGTTAGTAAAATTGTCCATTCCTTTTCTCACGAGTCCCAGTGCTCCGATTACTAGTGGTATAGTCTTAGTTTTCATTCTCCACATCTTGTTAATCTCGATGTCTAAGTCCTTGTATTTGGACAATTTCTCGATAGTTTTTATGGCAGCGTTTCTCTCAGATGGTACTGCTATGTCAATAAGCATACACTTCTTGAATTTCTTGTCTTTTATGATTATATCAGGTTTGTTGGCTTTTATTTCCCTGTCAGTTCGAATTGGCATGTCCCAGAGGTTAGTTACATCGTTATTTTGGGTAACTGTGTCTGGTTGGTGCTCATACCATCTCTCAATGGTTTCGATTTTGTGCTTCTTGCATATCTTCCAGTGCACATATGTCGCCACATTGTTATATCTCTGGGCATATTCATTTCTTGCCAGTTCCGGATATCCTGAGATAATATGGTCGACAGTTCCATCAGATTTTCCGCAGATCCAGCATTTCGTGTTAGTTCCATCCTTGATTATGTGACAGTGATAGGATCTGGTTGCGAGGCTTTGGTCCTGAACTGCGATAATTAGGCTTTCTGTCTCAACATTCAGTCCGGTTCTCCTCAGCCTCTGATGTCTTTTCTGTTGATCCACATCCGCTTCTTTCGTTCTTTTTAGGTATTTGCCATGCAACGCCGTGTTCTCCCAGTTTTTTCGTAATTTCATTTGGCCAAGTTGTTTTGCTTTCTGTTTTATTCATTTGGCGTAGATGCTATTCGCTTCGTTTTTTTTTTTTTGGTAGAATTTCAGGTATATTAAGCTGTTTCTTGAAAAGTGCAGCTTCTTTGCTGATGGAGTGGATTTGGCGTTTTACTATTTGCAAGAGAGGGCCATTAATTTTTGGTGAGGTAGGCTTCCGATCAGATTGTTGTAGTTCTTAGAGTTAATTCAAGTTGGATTAGACCTCGACCGCCATAAGCTCTTGGTACATACAGCCTATCAAAATCTGATTTCGAGAGGTGCATACTCATTTGGGTAAGCATTTTTCTGGTCTTTGTGCCCAATCATTTAATGGCATTCAAATTACACTTATTAATTTTGAAGCTGTATGTTACTACGGGTATAGCTAAGGTGTTGATGACCTTCATTTTATTGGCCCCATTTAGTTCGCTTTCTAGTATCAAACGCATTCTCCTATTATATTCTTTTCGGATCTTTCTCTTCTGTTGTAGAGTAGTTTTCACAGTAGAGGCTTGTATTTCTCTAAGTCGGTCCTAAATTAGGTTCGACGTACAAAACGTTAGGAACTCGAAATAATAGTTAATGACGCAGCAATCTAGTTGTGGGGGCTCATACTTTAATGTCCGACATCGACTGACTCACACCACTCACTGAGCTCCACTGGCGACTGCTACTACTACTACTTATTATCTGTGGGAGAGTCTATTGACAATAGAATAGGTACGTTTCGGTATAGCATCTTCATAATTGAATGCTGTATTCCATCTCCTTCATTAATTCCTAAGTATTTATATGCACCATCTTAGTCTAGTTCCTTAATGTTATTACTGTTATCAAGGTCTAATTCCGTAGTTTTCATTATTTTACCGCCTTTGAAGGTGGCCTTGGCACATTTGTCGATTCCGAACTTCAACTTATGTCTTCGCTGAAGGTTTTGACAATGGAGGTTTTTGTGCTGGTTGTCAACCTTGGCAAACGTTTTAAGCTCATCAGTATAGAATACGTGTTTCATTTTGCCATTCTGTGACTTGTATTCGTAGCTACTGTTCTTCAGTAGGCAGGTGATTGGAATCTTTTCTAATCAATCCGAGGGCTCCAACTACAACTGGAATTGTTAATGTCCTCATGTGCCACATTTTTGAGATTTCGTTTTCAAGGTCCTTGTATTTTGATAGCTTTTTAAAGATCTCCAGAGAAACATTGCAGTCTGCAGGGATTATTATTATTATTATTATTATTATTATTATTATTATTTGTGTATGTTATGTTTTGTATGCAATGTATCCTGTCGAGCCTGGTCCAAACGATGGACATTAAGACCCTGTAGGATAATTGTCATTTAATTGAGAACACTTTTCTTAGTATATGGGATGTTCCTATTATTATTGTTGTTGCTGTTTTTGTTGTTGTTATTATTATTATTATTTCCTTTAATTTCTGTATTTCCTTCTGGGTCCCAACAAGAGACCTAAGGTCAGAAATGGCTTCATGACATTTTCCACTGATAATAATAATAATAATAATAATAATCACTTAAGGTCACACATTTTACAAAGATAAAGCTGTTCCTCATGTGTGGGCTATTAATTTAGTACAATTTTTTGTATTCCTTTAAAGCATAGGCTACCAGTAATCCCTCCAACGAAACTATTGGACACTTTTCTAATCCGATGGCTCCAAGTAGAATTACTGTACCACATTTTTGGGACTTCTACATCAAGATCCTTGTATTTTCGTAGGTCTTGAAGATCTTCGATGATACATTTTAATCTGTACGCACTGCCATGTCAGTAACAAAGCACATTCTGTTTTTTGTGGTCTTTGATCACGACGTCTGGGCGATTACGTTTGATTGTTCTGTCTGTGTGTAATATAAAATTGTCTTATTATTATTATTATTATTATTATTATTATTTCTTTTGGTTTCTGTTGTATACCCATTTCCTTCCAAGTCCCAATAAGAGACCTAATGTCGGAAAGAGCTTCATGACTTTTTCCACTGAGCATTTTTGTAAATGAAAACAAAGACACACGTTTTACATAGATAAAGCACTTTGTAGTACGTGAGATGGAATTGTGACTATAATGGTTTGAGTTTCTTTAAGTAATAGGTTACCAGGAATCCTATATATCGGAATCAATCGGAGGGCTTCAAATTCACCTGGAATTATTGATGTCTTCATGTGCCACATTTTCTTTTAGATTTCCTCATCAAGATCCTTGGAACATATAACACATAAATCAATCTCGATCCAAAATAATTGAAATATTAATTTACATATATCTGCATATAAAACAAATCTCTTACTAACTTTCGTTCTTTAGGCACTGAATTTGTCACCTCACTGT